TTTGATATAGATTTTGTATAGATACATTAAAATCTCATATGTATATGTGTCTACATGACATAAACATAGAAGTAAAAACTGTCTAAGGCAGTGATTCTGAACCTGTGAATCACATACCAGATATCCTGCATATCAGATATTTACAGTATGATTCATAACAGTAGCAAAGTTACAGTTACGAAGTAGCAATGAAATATTTTTAAATTAATTTATTTATTATTTATACAACACACCAGAAGAGGGCACCAGATCTCACCATAGATGGTTGTGAGCCACCATGTGGTTGATGGGAATTGAACTCAGGACCTCTGGAAGAGCAGCCAGTGTTCCAAACCTCTGAGCCATCTCTCCAGCCCTGCAATGCAATACTTTTATGGTTGGGGGTCAGGACAACATGCAGAACTGAATTAAAGGGCCACAGTGTTAGGAAAGTTGAGAACCACTGCTCTAGGGAAACAAAGAAGTCTGGGTCGGAGGGGGAAAACATACTCAATGTCTAATATACACAATGAAAAATACTTTATCAAAAAAGATTTGTGTGTGTGTGCCTGTGCTCTCACACACGTGTGTGTGTGTGTGTTTCATGTAGCTAAGACTGGCCTTGAACTCTTGATTCCCATTGGACCTCCCAATCGATAGCATTAAGGCCTGCACCATTACCACAGGCAGGTATGGTGCACACACCTTTAATTCCAGCAATGGGGAGACTGAGTCATATGGGTCTTTGTGAGTTTGAGGTCAGTCTGATCTACAGGGTGAGTTCTAGGAAAGCCAGGGTTACATAGTGAGATTTTGTCTTAAAAAAAAAAAAAAAAAAAAAAAAGGAGGGAGGGCTAAAGTGATGGCTCAGCGCTTAAGAGCACTGGCTTCTCTTCCAGAGGACCTAGATTGGATTCCCAGCACAACTGTCTTTAACTCAAGTTCCAGAGGATTTAATGATCTTCTGGCCTTCCTTGGCACTGAACTCAGATGGTACAAAGACATACATGCAGACAGAACACCCACAATAAACAAACAAACAAACAAATAAATGATAGAAAAAAATTTAAAGCTAGCAAATGACTTTCCTGGGAAGTTGACCTCACTTTCTACTCCAATCCAGGAGCCAGGGGGTGGGCTGGGCTGGCATCCTCTGGATATGCCCCTAAACACAAGCTAATAGTGAGGGCCAGTTCTAAAACAAGCCTGTACGAGGAGAAGTATAAACCCTGGGAATGTTTCAAACAAGCCTGTACGAGGAGAAGTATAAACCCTGGGAATGTTTCATGCCAGGCCTTGGATGTCCCCTATCACTTTGGCCAGGAGGGAGCCCCAAAGGTCACTCAAGCTGCACATCTCTAGGTGATGGGCTGATGGGAGACTTAGGCGAAGGAACAGTTGTTCATCACCATCCATGTCTAGAAGGAAACTGAAGAGATCCCGGAGGGCTCTGCAGTCACAAGGCTGGCTTGTGGTGGATCTGGGGTGGGAGCCCAGGTTGGAGCAGGCCTGTTCTGAGACCCCTCTCCAGCTCGTCTAGTTAGCCCTTCGCAGCAGCCATGTCTACAACTGTCAGCGTGATCTCAGCCATCAGCAGAGCGGCCTGGACATCTGCAGCCATACTCTGCGTGGAAGGTGAGGCAGGTGGCAGAAATGCTTCCGTTGAGGGTAGGGACAGAACAGGTGCCACCAACGTCCAAGTTTGCTTGCTTGTTTGTTCCTAAGGGCTTTGAGAATCATCAGATTTTGAGGAGTTTGAGCTCAGAGTTTGCATCTTTCTCTTGGGCACTCTTATCATTATTTATCCTCAGCTTTTTCTCTTTTCATTGTTACATCTCCAGTTCCTCATTTGAGTTCACGTAGTGTTCTTGGGTTGGACTCACCCGTTCATAGGAGGAGGTGACAGTTGGGGTTCATCTCATCTCCAGCTGTGTGTTTGGGCTGACATTTTCAACACAGAGCATTGTGTACCTACATCAGACACAGGTTCTGTCTACAAGTCAAACTCTGCCGAATTCTGTTCCTTTAGAAAAAGTGTGGGTTTTACAGGAGGTACTCGGCAAACCAGAAGTCATTCTGGGAACACTGGTGGGAGAAGTAGGAAGTAAGCTCGTCCCACTTCACATTCAAAGATCTTTTCTCCTACTGGTGTGAAAAACCTGTGTACACTCTGACAGCATCCGGTGGGCTTGAGGCTGATATTCAGCAATTTCTTCCTTTCTTTCTCTCTTCTTTCTTTTCTTTCTTTCTTTCTTTCTTTCTTTCTTTCTTTCTTTCTTTCTTTCCTTTCTTTCATGTGTGAGGGTATGAGACAGGTTTTTTGTGTTGTTTTTTTTTTTTCTGTGTAGCCCTGGATGTCCTGGAACTCACTCTGTAGACCAGGCTGGCCTCAGACTCAGGGGCACCACTTACCTCTGCCTCCCAGGTGCTGAGATTAAAGACATGTGCCACCACACCCAGCTCAGGCTTTTTTTTTTTCTTCTTCTTCTTTTAGACATATTTATTTGTATATATGAGCACTCTATTTGCATATATACCTGCATGACAGAAGAGATCATGAGACAGAGAGACCCCGTTACAGATGGTTGTGAGCCACCATGTGGTTGCTGGGAATTGAACTCAGGACTCCTGGAAGAGCAACCAGTACTTTTAACCACTGAGCCATCTCTCCAGCCCCTTAGTTTTTTGTTTGTTTGTTTTTATTGACATAAAATTCAGAAGCAAAATGAGGAACAAGAATGTATGTTCAAGCTGTGCTTAAGGACCTCAACTTGAGAGATTTCAGCTTGTCTGGATTTTCCTAGGCAGGCAAAGGCTGACACCAGGCAGGTGAGCACCAAGTTGCCAGGATGGTGGCAGCATGGAGCCATCTCTCCAAGGCTTTTTATGGTTGGTGTTCTGTTCAGTGCAGTCGGGGCCAAGGGGGAGCGGCGGCTTGGGGCCAAGCTGGTGCTGTTTTGGCTGAGCTAACTCTGATTCTCAAGCCTGTCCCAATCCCTCAGCAGACTGAGTCTTCTCCTCCATTTCCCCCACAGCCAAACACTGTCCCCCACCAGGGGCTTATCAGGATTAATTAGCACTTCTAGAACCTTGGCCAGCCACGGAGGAAGAGTGATGAGTGCTTCCGTGGACCGGATTATCCTGAAACACACACTGGCTGTCTTGACAGTATTAGAGAGGACTCGGGGCTGGGCGGGCATCCTCCCACCTTCCACAGCTCAGGGCTGACTGTATATTCTGGGTGAAGCTTTGGGGAACAAGCCTTGCTGGGAAGACAGATGCAGCTCTGACATTCCTGGTTAACCAAACACCACTGCTGAGGGAGTGCCTTCTTCTAGCCTCCTGCCAGCATCAGCAAGGCTCTCCTGCCACTGTTAAAGAGGTCTTCTGCCAGACGTCAAGACTCCTGTATCCATCTGGCTCGTGCGTGTGTGCGTGCGTGCGTGCGTGCGTCAGTGTGTGTGTGTGTGTGTGTGTGTGTGTGTGTGTGTGTGTACACACTTGCTCTTGGGTCGCCACCTTCTTCCTTGAGACAAGGTCTCTCACTGAACCTACAACTTACTGTTTCTGTGGCCAGCTGGCTAGCCAGCTAGCATTCCTCCTGGCTCTGTCCTACATAGTGTTAGGGTCACAGGCTCCTGGCCACCCCTGGTTTTTACCTTAGTACTGGGGATCTGAACTCTGGCAGTTATGCTTGCTCAGCTCTTTAAAAATTTATATATATATATATTTAAAAGAAATTATGTGTGTAAGTGTTTTTCCAGCATATATGTATGTGCACCGTGCTGGGTGTCCAAGGAAGTCAGAAGAGGGTATCTGACCCCTAGAACTGGAGTTATGGGTGGTTTCGAGCCATTGCGTGGATGCTGGGAACTGAACCCAGGTCCTCCGTAAATTTAACAACTGATGTTAATGTGGAGCCAGCTTTTCTCCAGCCGCCTCAGCCAGTGCTCTCACCCAGCGAGTCAGCTTCTTAACCCCGTCCTGCATCTGGCTTCAGGTCTTCCGGGTGTAAAGGTTCAGTGTCTGTGTGTCCCTTCTCAGGCTGGATCATGTGATCACGGTGGGTAAGAGATTCTCAGATTGGCCCAGGGCTTCTGACAAGGAAAAAAAAATTTCACAAAATCCTTTGCCCTCATTTCGGATGCTCTCCGTTGGTGTCCAAGCACAAAACATTATTGTATTGTGAAACAATTGGATTCGTTATGAAAACACCTACTCCGTTAAATATTTGAAAGTAGGAAAAAAAAAAAAGTGAAATCGATGGGGGCAGGGTGACCTAAGCAAAATTGTGCTCCAAGATCAGAGATGGGCAAACGACTTCGAAATTCAGCTTTCCAGACCAGGGGGAGGGATGGTGAGAAAGCCAGAGCCTGGAGCTAGTGACGGTCTGGCCCCATCACAGTGGATTTTCCCACCATTGTGTGCTCCCTTCCCGGTTGCCAGCCCTGGGAGCGTCCCGGGGGAGGCCGGACCTAAGGCTAAAGTGGTGTTTGTAACCTTGTCATTGGGAATGATGTCGCAGGTTAGTTACACAGGCCCTGATCGATGGTGAAGGCAGCAGCAGATCAATAGACCTCGTTTCCGGGGAGAATTCACCCGTGGTGACCTGCAGGGGGTCAGGTGGTTCATCAAGAGAAGGCTGGCTCGAAGGTCGGACGCTCGTCTCTTCTCCGTGCTGGTCTTCTCTTGGAGCTGTAGCCAGTAACAGGCGGGTAATAAACTACTTTTCCTTGAAGAGATCTGGGGAGATGGCCGTGGTACAAGGGACGGAGAGGTGGCCACAGATCCTCTGGGAGACAGAAAGCCGGGATGGGGGCGCGCTGGGCTCCCCTTCCCCGAGCCTGCCCAGCCCAGTAGAGTAGCCCTCCCACGCCTCGCCGGGCTGCGGCCCCTCGTCCGCCCGAGCCCCTCCCCCGGCCCGGAGCCCCTCCCCGCGCTTCCCCTCGCCGCGCTCTCCTCCCTCCCCTCCCCTCCCCTCCCCTCCCTGCCCGCCCCGCCTCCGCCTCCTGCGCCCACAGCGTCGGCCAGCGCCGAGCCCCCAGGAGCCCGAGCGCGGCCCAGGGGCGCCGCCGGCCCCTCCCCGGCGCGCTGACAGCAGGCCCGGCCCCCGCCCGGTGCCCTCGCCGGCGGGACACACCCCCGGCCCTCCTCTGCGCCGCCAGTTCCCGCCGGCCCCACCGGGCGGCAGAGAGAGCGGGCCGGCGAGCGCAGCGCGGCGGCGCGGGAGGGAAGGGGCGCGCGGCAGGCCCACGGGAGCAGCCCGGGGCGCACGGAGCCCTCGTGCCCTCCACGACAGTCGCCTGCCCGGGAGCCGCGGCTGTGGGTACCGAGAGCCCGGGCGGGGAACGGCGCGTGCGGCAGGGGTGGCGCAGAGCCGCGGGGACCCGGGCAACGGGAGAAGGAGCCGGAACCCGGCCGGGATGAGAAGGTGACGCCGCCGGGGGGCGCCACTCTCTTTGTGGGGAAGATGCTCGCCTACTGCGTGCAAGATGCCACCGTGGTGGACGTGGAGAAGCGGAGGAGCCCCTCCAAGCACTATGTGAGTACTGCTTCCCCTGACCCCGGCCGGGGGGGGGGGCAGTACCAGAGATTCACGCTCCCAGGGGCGCCCTTGACTCCGGAGTTTGTTCGCAGGGCTGTGATCTCTAGGGAAGTCTTTTCTGTCCTCCCTCCACTCCCCTGTCCCGGGTTTCTTTTTTTGGCATTGCAATTGGCAAGTGGCTGCCCTTGTCTGTTACGACGGTGAAGTCATGTGTCCTCCCGCAGCTTGGATGGATGGTGGGGGAAGCTTTCGTCAGCCCCTTGCGGAGCAGTTCCTTCGGGAAAGAGCATCTTCGCCACGCTCCCTAGGGGCACCGGACGCTCACGCTCACTCGGCCCGGGATGCTTTCAGTGGCTTTGACCCGGGACCCATGCTTCTCTTTCTGCCTTCCACATTTGCTGCTCTGCCTGCACCGGTTGGGGTCTGGGGACAGAGGAAGCGCTTTGCCGCCCCCCCCCCCCCCTTCGCTTCGAGCTTTGATTTCCTTCTTAAAACCATTGTATCCCGCGGTGTGAGGAGAACTGTGGCTTTTCCTTTTATCCCTCCTCTGGACGTGACCCTTCGCTAGGGTCATTTCCTCGTAAGTGATGCTCTGACTCCAGACACGAGTAGGCAAATGTGGTCTGTGGTCTCGGAGGCACGGTTGACTGCCCCGCCGCCCCTCCCCCTTCTTTACCCAAACTTAATGAGAAGAGGCTAAGGTTGACCAGCTGGGCTTCAGAGTGTGTGACAGTCCCCTTTCATCTCAGCCAGTCCTGTCTTCCAATCCTTCACACCTTTGGAAGTAAACACTGTCCTTGCTGCCTGAGGATGGCTTGCTGAGCTTTGGTCCTGGACTTGAGATAGAAAGCCACAGTAAAAGACCCAAAGCTCAGAAGACTTGGGGATAGTAGGGCAGCCTCTTACTTGCAAATTAGGATTTAAGGGAGCATTTAGAATGCTCAAGGCATTAATTTTAACAATTAAAACAGGCTGTTGGTTGATGCCCTAGATTGCACATTAGTCTCCGAAGTGCTTTTTATTTCCCTGTTGGAAGGAGGCTGGGTTTGTGGTGTAATACCAGCCCGGAGCTACTCTTTCTGCTGGCATCGCAGCTGACCTGAAGACAGGGTTCTCTGCAGTTGACTAGTGAGGCTGGATTCAGGTTGGGAAGGAGGTTGAGTGGTGAGAGAAAGAGGTGGGTCTCTGTGTGTGTGCGTGTGTGTGTGTGTGTGTGGGGGGGGGGAGTGGGGATTCCCTGACCCACAGTCAGGGATCCTTTCCAACTGTGTTGAAAGCTTCTACAAAAACAAAACTCCTCTAGGGGCTGAGGAGGTGGCTCAGTAGGAGAGCCCTTGACTAGTAAGTTTGCTGCACTTCTGTTCTCAGTCCTAGAATAAAAAGGGAAAACTTGGGTCACTGGTGGCCACCCTTGTCCATTTCCTCACATCCCAGGGGTAAGTAGGGTGCCAACATTCTTGACCTCTTTTGGGGGGCACTGCATGCTGTTATAAGGATTCTTTTTTTTCCGGCCTTCAGGTGAGGCCCACACTGCTTTCAACAGATGGCAGTCTCTGCCCTGAGACCCTAGCAGGTGCTTTTCCGGTGCTGGATTTTACGTGAAACATTGCAGTTAGTTCTAAACAGCTAGGCCGGAGATTACAACGTAAGGCACACTGGCTACAAAGTAGCAGCCAACAGAACCAAGACCCTGCTCTGGAAAGTATTGAAAGGCAGAATAGGCTAGTGTTTGGTCTTTCCAGGCTGGCCTACCCACTAACTGTGCCACATAATGCTCATTCTTTAAAACTTCATGGACCTCGGTGTCCTTATTTTGAAGGGAATTTTTTAACTATTTTATATGTACAGGCGTTTTGCTTGCATGTGTGTCTGCACCACTAGCATACCATGCCAGCAGAGAGCCGGGAGAGGCTGTAGGATCCCTGGATCTGGAGTTAGAGACAGTTGAGCCGTCGTGGGTGCTGGGAATTGAACTGGGGTCTTCTGAGAGAGCTGCCAGTGCTTGTAACTGCCGAGCCACCTCTCCAGCCCTTGTTTCCTCACTTTTAAAGTGAGGATAATAACAGTAAAGGGCTGTCGGGAGAATTAGATGACAACCTCCCTGTGAAAGACATAGCCCAGTTCTGGGTACATACTAAGCACTCGGCAAATAGTAGCTAGCCATTGGCGAGAGTCTGACTGAGAAGGTTTTTGAGAAATAGCTATTAATGGTCTGGCTGAGAGGAAGAGAGACTCGGCACTTTAAGTTTGATAATAAAGTGTACTGTGTGGGAAATACAAAAGAAGTCCTGTCTACTTCCCTTGAAATGATCATTTCCTCCCTTTCTGCAGACAGAGTGTTTCCTGGGTCATCTCCACTTCCGTGTGAGAATGAATGGATGATGTGATTCCTGCGGTGGAGAGTGATGTCACCTAGCAGATGGGATCGCACAGAGTTCTAGAAAACAATGAAAGGAGTGTGCTATACGATGAGGCATTGTGGAGCCGGCCAGGGCGGGCCCTTCACGTACAGATGAGGGAAGCAGGAGCCAGGTGGGCTTCTTACAAGGTGGCTAGTCAGAGCACTGAGGCTAAGTGGCCTCTAGCCTGTGGCGCGGGCTCTGTCTACTGAAGTCACCCAAAGTCTGGTTGAAGTTGACAAGGAAGAGAGAGACATCATTCCGCGTTTGGGGCATTGATACAGGGGTGTCCAATAAGTGAAAGCGTAATGGGGCTCTGAGGGGGTCCCCTCCTGTTTTGACCCTTGTATAGTAGATACCCCACACAGGAAGGGCAACTGTTGTGGATAAGGCACTCTGGCATGGTTATCTGGCAGGACAAGTCACACTCCAGTCACGTACGTCCTGGTAAACTCTACACTGGAGAAGCATGTCCCCTTCCGACCTCCCTGCACTGATGGAGCATGCTGAGCCAGTGCCTTGGTGAATTGCCAAGCAGAGGTTTATACGGACATGCACGTTAGCCAGGGCTTGCTGGTGAGGGAGGCTTGGAGCCATTCAGGAGGAGCAGCACTAGCTCCAGAACACTGGGAACGCATGCAAAGGTTCTCTCAGGACACCGAATAGAGTGTGTGCACATCCTCAAGAGCACGGGCAGCTGTAGTCGAGGTGGGGGTGGGGGTGTCTGGTGCTCTGGGTCTGTTTACGAAAGGCAGACAAGTGGCCTCCATCCTCCATCATGTGCAAGGTGCAGCCGGCCCTTGGCTTCCCTCCTCTCTGCCAGCCTCTGTCTCGGGTGGGACTGGGAAGGGTGAGCAGCTGTGGCTTGGGTGGGCCTCCCTGGGAGCTGGGCTCCTGCTCTACCTCTCCTGAGCTGTTCCTTGGGAGACCTTACCTAGGTAAAACGGCTTTGGCCTCAGACCCTTTGTCTTTAAGATGGCCCTGCAGATGCCAGCTGCAGGGCATAGCTGCCTGCATTGGAGAGTTTTCTGACAGGGTTGTGAGTTTAGAAACAGAGTCCTTTGCACTCACGGGTGTGAACAGGTGTGTTTTGAGCCGTATGGTGGCCGAGAAAAGCTTGTTTATCCAAGCAAAGGAGACGCTATGTCTGTTTGCGTTTGGGAGTTGTCCTGCTTTCACAGTCATTTCCTTTCCTGAGTGTTTATTTCAGACAAATACCAGTCGTGAATGCTCTGATCCTCCACAGGACTCTAGGGAATGCAAATAATAGCCAGTGTCAGCGGCTACCTTCCATGGTGCCCAATGCTATGGGCATGCTCTCCTGGGAACCAGAGCTGCTGTACTGTGTGTGTGTGTGTGTGTGTGTGTGTGTGTGCGCGCGCGCGCGCGCACGCGCGCGCGTGGGCACGAGAGCGTGTACTGCCATGAGCCTTAGTACAGATGGATTAACCAAAGCTGGGTGAAGCTCACTAGTTGCCTGGGATTCTCACTTAGCTTCAGTGAGATCTACATTCTCTGAATAAACAGATAGGAGGTTTATAAGCACAGGTTAGTTTATCTCCTAAACACAGGCTTATCTCCCAAGGAGAAGCCTAATACAGGGCTGTTCCCACTTCGAGTGGAGTTAGTGAGTCCAGGCACAGGCCTGTGTGACACTGAGAGGGTGACACAGGGCGGCATTTGACGGCTGCCTTTCTGGAAGGGTTGCTCATCATGTGCAACGCATTGGCTTTGCCTGGGCGTGGAGAGTTCTGGGAGAACAGTGTCTGTCTCCAGTGACTCCTGGAGAGACTGGATGAAGGGCGGGCCCATGAAATAATACATTTTCCCTGCATTTAGATCACCACAGATTTTGGTTGTGGTCCCGGGAGCAGTGTTTTTAGGAATTGGCACTGATCTCATTCATTTGTCTGCTCTTCATTTTTATCTTCTAAGGCTGAGATTATCGTTTCAGTCCACAGGAGTGAGAGGTACAGCCTCAGATTGGAAAGGGCCCCTCTTTAGAGCCTTGCCTTGTGGAAGAGGTGATATTGCACAGTTTGGGGTTCAAATACTGCCTCTGGCACATCCTAACCGTGTGTGTGTGTGTGTGTGTGTGTGTGTGTGTGTATACCAGTGACTCTGGGCTCAGTATCCTCACCTGTAATCTCACAGCACTGTGAGGAAGTTTCTGGGCAGCCACTGTAGCTGTTCTCATCACCAAAACACTGAAGTATATCTCAGAGCCCTGGGGGACGCTGAGAGAAAAAGCAAGACTAGGCAGAAAGAAGGGCCCAGCTGTTGAGGGCCCGGTGGGACGTTGGCCTGCTTGCTCTGTGGAAAGCACCCAGCATACATGACCCCAGTAAACAGAGAGCAGCTGTTCAGACCTGGAGAGGCTCCTGGCTCAGCACAGGAGCCTAGTGGTACATTTCTGATGAGCAGAGAAGAGAAAGAAAGTGGGCTCATAGAGAAGAGGGGTTGCTCCAGTTAAGGACGAGGAGGATTCTAGCCAGATTACACACAGAGCCCAGCACTGTGCCTGCTCTCCATCTCCCTGATTGTGAGAGTGTGACTCTCTTACACACACACACACACACACACACACACACACACACA